TTCATGACACCACTTTTAGAAAGTACGTCATTATTACATATAAGACAGCAAAAAGAGATGAAAAGAAATGGTGTGATACTATCAAGGATACCAATGTCATGGGAGCCAATAAGAAAAATGGAGGCTGGGTGCAGTGGCTCACGCCTGTAATCCCAGCACTTTGGGAGGCTGATGTGGGCAGATCACCTGAGGTCAGGAGGTCAAGATCAGCCTGGCCAGTGTGGTGAAACCCCACCTTTACTAAAAATACAAAAATTAGCCAGGTGTGGTGGCACATGCCTGTAGTCCCAGCTTCTCAGGAGGCTGAGGCAGGAGAATTGCTTGAACCCGGGAGGTAGTGGTTGCAGTGAGCCAAGATCCTGCCATTGCACTGCAGCCTGGGCAACAGAGCGAGACTCTCTTTAAAAAAAAGGTGGGGTGGGGGAGTACTAAACTGAGTCTAAATAGCCAAGAAACTCAGTGCAAGGACAGTAGTGTTCAGACTTGTTGCTAACTTAACATGTCATCACGGATTTGATAAGGTGTGAAGAGTAAACCATAAAGGATCTCTGTGGTTACTATACCTGTTTGATGACTATGGCCCAAGGTGATGAAGAGGTTTGACCTTATTTCCCTGGGACCTCTATAACTATGATACATTGTAACATAATTTCCACAGTGGTCACATCTAATTATAGCAATGCTTTGTTCACTGCACCTTCATTACTAAGAAGAATGCTTAAGGGTAGCATTCATGAACTACAGACAGACAGCTTGGAAATAAATGAAGACCCAAATGAGAACAAACATAGCCTATTAAATCAGGCCACACCATAGTAAGGGAGTCATTCACAATCTCTTGCACTCAGCAGAGCTTGAAAGGTAAGTAGAGGTGTAGAAAGCTTTATAGTAGATGAAAGGTAAAGTATTAGGTATGCCATGATTGGAGGGTTTTGCCGTGAGGAGTGAGTGTGTGTGTGCCTGTGTTGGAAGGGGATTATTTAGAAGGTTGACAGACTATGTGATTGGCTAGTGATGCATTTGCTTTCTCCAGTTGGTCCTAAGTTGAACATGTGGGCAACAATTAAGAAGGCCGTCAGTTCTTAATCATTGTCTTGGCCATTTTAAGTCAGTGGTTATGTGGGTTGTTGTTTGGCTTACTGGCCTGGTTGCTAGATGTGGTATGCAGACTTGGAGTGGTTACTATAGATACCGCATTGGATTTCTGAATGGGTGGCTGTGAATTATGGGTCAGAGTTCACTTTTTATATTTGGTGTAGCCATTGTCCATTTATATAGCAAATTTCTCACACCTAAATAAGGAACTAACTATCCACATTAGTGAGACTTCTTTTTTAACTGGTTATGTTGAAAATTAGTTTAATATTCATTAATTAATTTTCTACATCCCTTTCAAAGATTTTTTGTTTTCATTTTTGTTTTGCCAGGCCTTCAATTGGGAAGACTTAATTTTTGCTTCTTTTTTTTTTTGTAAACTGGTTGGCAAAAAAACTAAATTCTAACACCCTGGTCAAAAAATAGCCCTTTCCTTTCCTGAATATAACAAGAATAGATTTTAATTCTTGGTCTTTTCTTTTGGTCTTCCTTCACCAATCCTGCAGGAGAGACCATAAGGCATTATCTAAATGCCTTATGTTGGGGGGGCATGATTTTCAGGTAGTATTGCTACTACCTGATGACAGTACTATTGCCACTCAATTTTTCTCTCACTGCTACTCAACTGCAGTGAGAGAAAAATAGCTCTAAATGCTGACATTTTGTAATGTATTGTAAAAAGCTGAATAAAGCCAGGCACAGTGTCCTGTACCGATAGTCCTAGCTGCTCCAGAGGCTGAGGAGGGAAGATAGCTTTAGCTCAGGAGTTTCAGACCAGCCTAGCAACATAGTGAGACTTTATCTCCAAAGATAATAAAAATCTCAATACAGGATATTAGAGACATCCTAACAAAGTTAATACAGGACCCAGGACAAATTCATTAAATACAGGATATGTGTTATAGCTGGTGGCAAGCCTATTCCTGATGTGTCCCATGCACCTACTATTGTGCCTGACATCCAGTAAGTGCTCATTGAACATTTTTTTTTTTTGAGACACAGTCTCGCTCTGTTGCCCAGGATGGAGTGCAATGGCACGATCTCAGCTCACTACAACCTCTGCCACCCGGGTTCAAGCGATTCTCCTTCCTCAGCCTCCCAAGTAGCTGTGATTATAGGCACATACCACCATGTCCAGCTAATTTTTGTATTTTTAGTACAGATGGGGTTTCACCATGTTGGTCAGGCTGGTCTGAAACTCCTGACCTCGTGATCCGCCCACTTCGGCCTCCCAAAGTGCTGGGATTACAGGTGTGAGCCACCGCGCTTGGCTCAACATTTGTTAGAGTGATAAATGTGAATGTGACAGCACACATTCCCTATTCATTTTTACCTTTCTGGCAATCTTTTAAAATATAGTCCTTACCTGTTCCTCCAAGCTGTTAATGCATGTTTTCAAGTTTGAGAATCACCTTTTGTAAACTAAGCCCTGAATGTGTCCAAAGTTGCCGAATGTGTCCAAAGTTGCCGAATGTGTCCAAAGTTGCCACAGGCTCCAGTTCATTCTTTGACGCCTCAGATCTCTGTCTCTTGCTCCAACTCCACTGAGATTTTAACTTTTTTTGTCCTGTTACAGATATAATTCTCTAGAACAATTTCCAACTCCTTGTTTGAATAACTGCATAATCATCATTCATAGCTTTGGCAGTATACATTTCGCAAGGGTTTTTAAGAGATAACTTCAACTCCTTATGCAAATACTGTTGATGCAATTTTAGGTGAAATGATAAAATCACTTTCCAAGAAAGATGTAAGATCATGGACACCCAAACCTTTATCTCAGGGTAAGAGGCTCTCTTTGCACATATGTTTTCACTGTTTGAAGGGCACATAATTTCCTGGCAGGAAATGCAATTTTCATACTTGGCTCTTCTGTTTTAATAGATTTCTGATTCTTGAAATAAATGGGCAGCTGTGGTGACGAGCCCCTAGAGTCCCTGCTACTTGGGAGGCTGAATCCAGGAGATTCCTTGAGCTGAGGAGTTCAAACGCAGCCTAGGCCATGTTATATAACAAGACCACCTCGTACCCCACCTCTTAAATAAATAAATAGAAAACATCACATATATAAATAAGTATATGAATAAAAATGTTGCTTGCCATGTTGGAACACAATGACTGATTATTCAGAAAGGGAACATAAACCAAAAATAAAATTCTAAGTCCCTCAGCTAACTGATAGACCTTCCCCTCAGCCAAGGGCATTTCAAAATTAACCTGAAAAACTAATTCAGGCCATGATGGGAAGGAGGTTGGACATGCATTATTCTTATTTTTCAGACAGAGTCTTGCTCTGTCACCCAGGCTAGAGTGCAGTGGCACGATCTTGGCTTACTGTATCCTCTGCTTCCTGAGTTCAAGCACTTCTCCTGCCTCAGCCTCCCAAGTAGCTGGGATTACAGGTGCATGCCATCACACCAGGCTGATCCCAAACTCCTGACTTCAAGTGATCTACCCACCTTGGCCTCCCAAAGTGCTGGGATTACATGTGTGAGCCACTGTGCTGCGCCAGACATTCCATATTATACCCTCCTCCCGCTGGAATTCAGGGACAGCTGACCAGCATTAACATTAAAACAGAAATCTTAAGATCTCTCTGTGGACTTTTTGTAGTAGTAAGACACCAAATTCCAGTCTGATTCTAGTTTTGCATCACATGACAGATAGGAGGCCCTGAAAGAAAAGAGCTGGAGGTGCCTGGAGGAGCCTTGAGAAATGCAGTTCTAGGGCTCCTAAGTAGGTGGGGGCTTTGCTGACTCTTAAATGGCAAGTATCCAGATTCAGAGGCCCTGAAAGAAATCAAAGTATTTCACCCCAAAATATATTTATTTGAAATATTTTGAAAAGGCCTTACAAAGCTGTTCCTTGTGGGGAAAATCTACATTCTGTAGAAAATCTTCTTTCCAGCTTTTTTCTGTGTCCCAGGAGAGAATTAACAAGTCTGGCACCTTTTTAAGTCTAATAAAAACTCTGAGGCCTTATCCGTAAGGCCTTATGATATGGCTACCTGGAGGCTTCCTCTGCATGATATAACCTTGGTCTTCACAACCCCTTATCTTAACGCAGACAATTATTTCTAATGATTCCAGGTGTTTAAATAAAAGCTCTTTCAACCCACCTGACCTGGAAAGTCCAGCTCCCCACCTTCCAGTTGTTCCGCCTTTCCAGAGGGATCCAATGTATATTTTACATGTATTGATTGATGTCTTATGTCGTCCTAAACTGTTAAAACCAAGCAGCTGTAGATGGGCCACCTTGGGCACATGTTCTCAGGATGTCCTGGAGCTGTGCCATGGGCCATTAGCCAGTTATTATTTGGCTCAGAATAAAGCTCTTCAAATATTTTACAAAGTCCCACCCATTTCGTCGACAGAAAGACATACCTCCTTCAGCTCGCCATCACATCTTGTGTGGGTCTTTCTTGTTCCAACAGAGCACACCAAAGATCAAAAAACAGTCTCCAGAGCTTCAGTATGTGTGTACTTGACAAGCGCAAAAGAGCTGACCGCCGTGAATGGAGGACCAGTTCATTACGGTCAGCCATGTCCCCTCTGATGTTCTTCCTTTGGGAACTTGCTGTGCCTCATAGAATCTGAAACGACAGTGAAATATTTCTCAGACTTGTTCTAGATTACCTTCTGGGGAAATCTGGATACTTGCCGTTTAAGAGTCAGCAAAGCCCCCCCCCCCACGTACTTAAGAGCCCCGGAACTGCATTTCTCAAGGCTCCTCCAGGAGCTCCCAGCTTTTTTCCGTTAAGGTCAGCGCGCCCTGCACTATGAGGCCGGGCAGGCAGCAGCGTAGGAACTACATTGCCCAGAAGACACTGCGGGCGGCACAGTGAGTGTAGCCAATGAAGATCTAGCAGAGAGACCACCAGCGAGGTCTCAATAGTGTGGGCGGGACTTCCGGCGGCGCCGTTCGGGTTCTGTTAGCTTGGCATCGTTGAGATCTGTTCGCCTGATTTGTGGTGTGCCAGAGGTCTGGGTCGGGAGTGAGGTGGCAGAGCGGAAAAACGCGAGAAGCGGCGTTCCTTCTACACAGTGGCCAGAGTGAGGATCGGCTGAGTAGGCTGCAGGCGCTGCTGCCTCCACCAGCGTCCAGGTGACCGCCGTTCCCACCTGGCTCTTCGCTGGCTGGACAGGAGGCGGCCGCGCCGGTGAACCTGACCGAGGTGCGTGCCGCGTCCCAGGCCGCCCGCCCAACCTCCCCTCCCCCAGTGCTTTAGTCCCAAGGAGGGGCCCTGCAGGTTAGGCTGTTGTGTCTCAAAGAGAGCGGCTGGGACTGCGGTGCGATGAGGCGGGGGAGCTCGTCAGAGACCGACAGGTCTGGGATTTGGGGGCGCTGCAGAACGGGCGGCCCTGGGGAGCCCCATCGTCTTTGTTTCCAGGGAGCAGAGGGTGAGGCGCAGTCTCCCCTGGAAGGGCAGTGGAGCCACAGAAAGCCATAGAGGGCTGTGCAGGGAGGACGGATGGAAGGGTCACGCCCAGAATTCGAAGTTAACGTTGGGGAAAACAGGATGTTGAACGGGGGCAGGGGAACCGCCGGGGAGATCCCTTGAGTTATTTTAGAGCTGGGCCAGAGGGGTTGCAGTAGAGAGGAGAAGGGATGAGATTCTGGTTGGATCTGAGAGATAGAGTCAACAGGATTTCCTGCTGCATCAAACATAGCTGTGAAGGGTATATTCCATGGGTTTTGTTTTGGCCTGAAAAGCTGAAAGAATGGAATTAGAGAGATCAGCTTAAGGAGCAGGTTTCAGACAGAAGATGCTGGTTTGAATTTTGGGCGACATCACATGGGTAGGTGGACCTAAGTTCCACAGGTCAGGGAAGGCCTGGGGCTTGAAATGAGTTAGAAGTTGTGCATCTGAGGAGAGTTGGCCTTTGGATCAGATTGAGAAGGAAGAATCATAACGCTGTTTTTTCATATGGGCTGAGGGAGGGGAGGGCTCAGATTTGGAGGAAAGACCATGGTAGGGAGGGTATCTGTGATACTCCCTGAAGAAGGAAGCAGATATGGGCTAAGAGTTTGGTCTGTTTCTTTTGAAAAACAGGCCTGGATGGATAAGGAGTTGCCCTGAAATGTACAGACTGAGGCATGAGGTATTGTAGTCACTCCACTCTCTAACTCAGCCAGCCCCGAGGGCCACTCTTTGGGGAACAAGATAAGGCCATGGAGCAACTGGGTCCAAAACTGGGCAGGGCTTTCTCACAACCTCCGTGACAGTTAAGGGCCTCTAGCAAGCTCCCTTTATAGCATTAAATGGCAGGCGGACCTGTTTGCTCAATGGAGGAGTAATTGATTGCCTGCTCAGCTCCATCCTACAACTCATTAACTTGGGAATGTAAAAACATGTAATTGATTTAAACGCTAATAAACTATATCAATCTTAAATAACCAAGCAGGTCAGAATCTAGTTTAAAGACAGTTTATTCACGTTCAAATGTTGATGATAGCCATCTGGCAGCATAGATTCAAGTTGTCCTGAATATACACTTTAATTAGCAGCAGTTACAAGTTTTTTGGTTTTTTTTTTTTTTTTTTTTTTTTTAGAAAAGCAGTTTCTGAGTTGCTTACCAATAACATATTAAAATAACATACATTTTTATTGGCTATACATTGTTCTATACGTTATAGATTACAGAAACATGAAGATAATAGGTGAGACAGCTAGTCAGGAACAAAATGCCTTTAAACAGTTGTCCTCAGGCATAGGTTCAGGGGTGTGACTGACATCTCATATTCTTGTCTCTGAGCCTCATACATTTTGTGTAGGTGAGACAGCTCTGGGCTTTTTTTTTTTTTTTAAAATTCTCAGCCAATATACTAAATGTGTACATATAGGTCATTGGAAATAAATGTAATCAATAATTTAAATATATTAAAATATTTATTAATTGTTAGAAGGTTAATTTACCTGTAACTGCTTATAGTACAAAGCTTTATATATATCACATTTCCTTAAAACATTAAGGAGTGGGGAAAAATACTCAAATTTTCAAAACCCTTCTATCTCATTTGTGCTAACGTCATGTACAAAACCATTAATCCTATAGAAATTGCTTATACATAGTTTGCATTACTTATGCTTCTTGTCAATATGAGCCCTATGAAATGGGAACCCTTTTAATCTCCATTTTACACATAAGGACACTGAGGCTTAGGGAAGGTTAGTCCTTGTCCAAAGATACAGAGCTGCTAAGAGGCAGCACTGAACTCAGGACTTGCTGTAGCCTCAAATCACTTTGCTCCAGTACAGGGCAAAGGTGGTTGTACAGCCTAGCCTGTAGGGTGCTGCAATACTGTGCTGTTACTCATGGCTTGCCTCTTCTTACAGGGTCCATGGCAGTGGCAGCAATGCATGAGGACCCTGCACAGGTAAGTCAAGGGTTTCTCAGGCTCTCTCCCCCAGCCCCTCACCACTTATCACTCTGATATTTTAAGCTTGCTGATATAGGGAAAGGTGGTGTCCTGAAACTTCATGTTTTTCCCTTCCTTGGGTCTGAAGACTGTAGTTCCACCACAACCAGGGGTCAGAACTCAGTCCCTGGTTATACAAAGTGGTCCTAGTTCCAAGAACTGATGGTATAAGATGGGGCAGGGCATCCAGGCACAGGATATAGGATATTCAAATGCTTACTGAGAAGTCTTAGCTGGGATGTTTAGTGAACTGAAAATTCATGTTCTATCTGGTTGTGATAGAGAGTATGGCAGCAGGGTAGGAGGTTGGGGCGTGCAGGGATCAGGGATGGCATGGCAGTCTAAGGTTCTGGCCTTTCATCTGAGGGTGGTAGTAGCTAGGGAAGGTTCGAAGGGAAAAAAAGAGATGACCTGACTCAGATTTTAGTGGCTCCCTCTGCCTGCAGAATGGAAGACCATGTGAGGGTGAGTGTGGAGCCAGGGATACCTGGTTGATTGGCCTGCAACAGTCCAGGTGGAGGTTGTTGGTGACTGAAGGAGAGTGGCAGTGGTGGAAGTAGGAGCAGTGGGTGGCTTTTGTATGTGTTTGATCTAGAACTGCCTGTATTTTATAATAGAGAGAGCAAGGGAGCTGAGATGGGAAGAGGGGGTCAGGAATGGCCCCATAGTTTTGGCCTCGTTTGGAAGGATGAATGTTCCAGCAACTAAGATGTAAGTTCTGTAGTAGGGGGAGTGTTTATATAGTAGAGCATATGAGGAACCAAGTTTTGGCCAAGTCAAAAATGTTCCAGTACAGACAGAGTGGATCACACCTGTAATCCCAGCACTTTGGGAAGCAGAGGTGGGAAAATAGCTGGAGGTGAGCCTGGGCAACATAGGGAGACGCTGTCTCTACAAATAATAATAAATAGCTGGGTGTGGTGGCATCTGCCTGTGGTCTCAGCTAATCGGCCTGCTGGGGCAGGAGGGTCGCCTGAGCCTGGGAGGTAAAGGCTGCAATGAGCCATGATTGTGTCCCTGCACTCCAGCCTGGGCAACAAAGTAAGACCCTGTCTCCAAAAAACCAGGCTGAAACAAAAAATACATTAAAAATGTTTCAGAGACTCTGAGTGGAGGTGCCAGCCTGGCAGTTGTGCACACAGGACTGGAGTTCAGTGTAGGTGTGCAGGATGGAGACATCCACTACATGACAGATGAACTGTTGTGAAACTGGGTCAGACTTACGAATCAGTGGTGTTAGTGGGAAGGAAGGAGAAGGAACACACTGAGGACTGCGTCTCTGCATTGGGCACCTGGATGGTGTTGGTGGGTGTCACAAAGAGAGATGAGAGAGTGGATCGACTGAGGGTGTGTTATGCTGGGGGCGGCCTGTGGAGTATAAGAAGGGCTTTTGAGAGGAGAGTGGTCATGAGAAGGATGGTGAGACATCTCCACAAACTTGCCAGGGTTTTGTAGCGAGTCTTGGTTGGACCTGGGTAGTTTTCATGTTAACTTTAGGGGAAGATGGGATCATGAAGGGGCATTGCTAGTCCTGGGGTGGGGATAGCATTGAGGAGGTCAGTGTGTCTGGACTTTGGATTAGGATTAGGGGAATAGAGAAGGTTATGACTGCTTATGGGACATCATGTACAGTGCAAAAGGGAGAGACAGCCAAGATCTGTAACTCGGAGGAGGTATACAAGAACTGTGAGGTTGTTTGTCACTTGCGTTTGGGGGACTGAGGTTAAAGCAGGAGACAGGACTGGGAGGGAGACCTTCAGAACAGGGCTTGGTGCTGCCCCAGGCACTAGGGAACATTACATTCTGGGCAGCCCAGGGGCAAATATGGTTCTGGTTGCATTTGTCATGCATTGCAGGACTCCATGTACAGAGTGTCATGTTGGTAGACCATGGAAATGCTCCTGGTTGGGCCAAGGTTGCTGTTAGTATTGCAAGAGTGGAGGAGTTAGATACATGAGGTAGGTACTGTCCAAAGTGAGACCTGAAGATGAGGGGAGCGTGAATGGATGGTCCTAGCCCTGGCAATGAGCACATGAGGGAGAAGGCTGAGTCTTAGTTCGGGTGTCTAGGAGGCAAGATCTGGAGAACCCAGGAAAACAGGGTGATAAAAGAAGGTAGATCTGGCCAGGCATGGTGGCTCATACCTGTAATCCCAGCGCTTTGGGATCATGAGGTCAGGAGTTTGAGAGCAGCTGACCAACATGGTGTATTTTTGGTTTCTACTAAAAATACAAAAATTAGCCGGTCATAGTGGTGGGCACCGGTAATCCCAGCTACTCAGGAGGCTGAGGCAGGAGAATTGCTTGAACCCAGGAGGCAGAGGTTGCAGTGAGCTGAGATCGCACTACTGCATTCCAGTCTCAACAACAGAGCAAGACTCCATCTCAAGAAACAAAAAGAAGGTAGGGCCGCCTGTGCTAGGCTTTGATGATGATGCTTGTGCTTCTTCCCCACCCATCTTTGTGCTGTGCCAGACTCAGCGATCAGCAGCAGTGGGGGCAAGAGCAGGTGTCGATGCTACCAGGATGTGGTGTCTCTTCCTCCTTGGGAAGTGGGTGGAGGCTAAGCAGGGGATGGATGTGTGTGGATGTTGGGGAAGCACTGAAGATTCTGAAGACCCGTGTATCAGTGATTGGCCCACTGGATTTTAATTTTTGGGAAAGAGTGAGTGATGACAGAGAGGCTAATGGCATTGAAATAATTTTTGTTACTTTCATTTCTTTAGTGCTGGGGTAGTGCCATGCTGCACCAGGCCACAGGAAATAGTAGATTTGGTCAGGAGGGAGATGCACGATTAAAGGGAAAGTGTACGTCAGAGAGTGTATTGGGGTTTTGGTAGGAAAGGCATGCAGGGCGGGATAAGGAGCTTAAAACTCCATGGTTTGCATAAGTCTGGCAGCCTTAGGGCTTAGAGATTATCTGTTACTGTGTGGTGACTTGTGTTGATAAGGACAGAAGAAAAGATCATGTATGAGCATTATTAGATAGGCATTTCAGCATATGGGATCTGGATTGCAAGGTAAAAACATTGACTGTTAGTTTGGCCCTCTAATTCTTAGATTTCAAGTAGATAAATACAGATCTAAGGAAACACAAAATAAGAAGTTGCTCATGGACTGAAGTGTCATAATTTTGGCAGGATTGTATGGTCTTTGAGGATGTGGCCATATATTTCTCCCAGGAAGAATGGGGGATCCTTAATGATGCTCAGAAACACCTGCACAGCAATGTGATGTTGGAGAACTTTGCGCTTTTGTCATCAGTAGGTAAGGGCTTCATACCTACTCTGGTGTCTTGTGCTGGGTGCTGTTTTTTTACTCTTTCCCATGACAACTCTGTCTTTCTCACACCAGATTGCGGGTGCTATGTCCTCTCCTGGTTTCCTGGCAAATGTGATGGGGCAGCCAGTGCTAGGTTGTGTATACTGTACCACCTTTCTTTAAGCAGTCCCAGCGTCTGTTGCTCTGCAACTTAACAAGATAAGGCTCAGAAGTCAGAAATCTTCAGGTTTCTTTAAGATATCCTCATGGCTTTGCCTGTCCCTGGTTTGATTACACTGTCCAAATGCATGAAACCTCTGCCCAAGGGTTTCCCTGTTTCCCTTTTCGGCATACTGGGAAACACTGTCTGTACTAGAAATTTCAGGCACCTACCTGGTCACCACTTGTGAGGATTGTGAAGTTATTCTACAGGACTCTCTAGTGGATATTCTGGTAATTTTAGAATGCAGCATGCCCTGGGTTTATAGCTCCATGTACATGTCGTCCCCTCCCTTTCCTTGCCTCTCCCCTAACTTGACTTGTGCCACAGCTAGATAGTTGCCCACCTTGAGCAAGGGGGAGGTCCCTGGGTGCCTGACAGAGTGGATAGTCCTCTATTAATGGCAAGAGACACTCAGAAGGACTTGGCCCTGGCGGGTGAAAGCTGGGAAACGATATGGTATCAGGGCTGGGTTCAAATCACATTGAGAACTTATCTTGTGACCACTATTGTTTGATGCAGGGCCACTGGCCACCCTTCACTCTTCCTTTCCATCCCTGTTGTTATTTTTACTCTGACTTCCAACCCCTGGCTCCCACTTCTGACCCCTCCTCTCCAGCCTTTCCTTCTCCACCACTCTCTTCCATTCTCCCTTTGCAGTGCGGTCTAATGTATGACCTGTACTTTAGGTGTTATGAGGTTTGTATGTGTCTTTCAGTAGTTCTTGTACACTTGCTCTCATGCAATTAGATCTCTCTGGATCTGGACACAACAGTCATGGCCTGTTGAAAGCCATTTGTAGAGGAGTAAGTTGGAAACTCCACCTGCCCTCCCTGCATGGTACTTCTCCTGTGTGTCCTTACCACCAGGGTTCCCCCATTACACACACTTGACAGGCCCACCTCTGAACAGTGGGCTTCCTCTCACTGACCTTATTTCCTTGCCTGTGACCAATGCTGTGCCCTCATTTGTGGGTGTGCCTCACAAACATTTGTTATGGGGCTGCCTTCTCCCCCCAGAGTTAACACACACTTCACCAGTATTTCTGTTCTTACAGGTTGTTGGCATGGAGCCAAGGATAAGGAGGCACCTTCCAAGCAATGTGTTTCTGTAAGAGTGTTACACGTCACAACTCCGAAGCCAGCTTTATCCACCCTGGAGGCCCAGCCCTGCAAGACATGTAGCACACTTCTGAAGGACATTCTGCACCTGGCTGAGCACAATGGAACACACCCTGAGCAAGGGCTGTACACGTGTGCAGCAGAGCATTACCTGCACCAAAAGGAGCAGATTAGAGAGGAGCTCACTAGAAGTGATGAGTGGAGGCCTTCATTTGTGAACAACAGTGTTCACATGGCAGAGAGGAACTTCACCTGCACACAGAGTGGCAAGGATTTTACTGCCAGTTCAGACCCTCTCCAGCAACAGATCTTAAACAGTGGGTGGAAGCTGTACAGGGATACCCAGGATGGGGAAGCCTTTCAAGATGAACAGAATGATTACAACTCCAGCCAAGGTGGGAAAGACTTTTGCCACCAACATAAGCTGTTTGAGCACCAAAAAACCCATACTGGGAAGAGGGCTTATGAGTCCAGTGAACGTGGGAAATTGTTTAGGTACAATTCCAACCTTATTAAGTATCAACAAAATCATGCTAGAGATAGGCCTTATGAATGCACTGAATATGGAAAGACCTTTATTAGAAAGTCCAACCTAGTTCAGCACCAGAAAATTCATATTGAAGGCTTTCTTTCAAAAAGGGCTGACCCTCTTGAACATCAGGAGATTTGTAGTAAACCAACACCTTATGAATGCACCCAATGTGGGAAAGCTTTCCTTACACGGGCTCATCTGGTTGGTCACCAGAAAATCCATACTGGAGAACAGCCCTATGAATGCAACCAGTGTGGGAAATTTTTTATGTATAACTCTACACTCATTAGACATCAGAAAGTTCACAATGGGGAAAGGCATTATGAGTGTAGTGAATGTGAGAAATTGTTTATGGACAGCTTCACACTCAGTAGTCATCAGAGAGTTCATACTGGAGAAGGGCCTTTTGAATGCAGCATATGTGGAAAATTCTTTAGTCACTACTCCACACTCAATATACATCAAAGAGTTCATACTGGCAAAAGGCCTTATAAGTGTAGCGAATATGGAAAAGGCTTTAGCCTCAAACTTGTTCAGCACCTGAAAATTCACACTGGAGAAAGGCCTTATGAGTGCACTGAATGTGGGAAAGCCTTTGTTAGAAAGTCCCACCTAGTTCGGCACCAGAAAATCCACACTGAAGCATTTTCAAAAAGATCTGATATTCAACACAAGAAGATCAACATCAGGCCAAGGCCTTATGCGTGTAGTGAATGTGGGAAGGCCTTCCTTACACAGGCTCATCTAGATGGTCACCAGAAAATCCATACTGGAGAATACCCTTATGAATGCAATGAATGTGGGAAATTCTTTATGGACAACTATAAACTTATTATTCATCAGAGAATTCACACTGGAGAAAAGCCTTATAAATGTAGCAAATGTGGAAAATTGTTTAGATATCGCTGTACACTGAGTAGACATCAGAAAATTCACACTGGAGAAAGACCTTATGAGTGCAATGAATGCGGGAAATTCTTTATGGACAACTACAAACTTATTATTCATCAGAGAATTCACACTGGAGAAAAGCCTTATAAATGCAGCAAATGTGGAAAATTCTTTAGATATAACTGTACACTGAGTAGACATCAGAAAATTCACACTGGAGAAAGACCTTATGAGTGCAGTGAATGTGGGAAATTCTTAAGGGATAGCTACAAACTCATTATTCATCAGAGAGTTCACACTGGAGAAAAGCCTTATGAATGCAGCAACTGTGGGAAGTTCCTTGGATACCGTTCTACATTAATTAAACATTATAAAGTTTGCACTGGGGAGAAGCCTCATGAGTGCAGTAAATGTGGGGAATTGTTTAGGACCAAATCAAGCCTTATTACACATCAGCAGTCTCACACTGGAGAAAGTCCTTTTAAGTTAAGGGAATGTGGGAAAGACTTCAGCAGCAAATGTAATACTGGTCAGCACCAAAAAAATCACAGTGGAGAAAGGTTTTATGAGTGTGGTGAATGCAACAAAGTGTTTAAATACAACTCCAGCCTCATTAAACATCAGAGAATTCACAGTGGAGAAAGGCCTTAGTGCAATGAATGCAGGAAAGTCTTTAACCAAAACTGTCACTTCATTAAGCACCAAAAAGTTCATATCAGATAAAGAACCTATTAATATATATAAATTTAATGTTGAGAGTTTAGACAAATCTGCAAGGATTTCCTGCTGGGAACTACGTTAAGAACATTTGTAATTGTGGCAAAATACAGGTAACTTAAAATCTACCATCTCAACCCATATTTAAATGTACTGTTCAGTAGTGTTAAGTCATTCACATTGTTGTCAATTAATATCCAGAAGTTTTCTCAACTTAAACTAAAACATTAAACCCTTTAACCAGGGATCCACAACCCCCAGGCTGCAGACTGGTACCAACTCCAGACTGCCCCGGTTTCAGACTGTTAGGAACCAGGCCAGCATTACCACCTGAGCTCTACCTCCTGTCATATCAGTAGCAGCATTAGATTTTCATAGGAGTACAAACCCTATTGTGAACTGTGCATGTGAGGGGTTTAGGTTGTGTGCTCCTTATGAGAATCTAATGCCTGATAGGATCTGAGTTGGAACAGTTTTATCCTGAAACTATCCTCCCCCTCCTCTGTCCCTGGTCTGTGGAAAAGTTGGCTTCCATGAAACCAGTTTCTGGTGCCACAAAGGTTGGGGACCGCTGCTTTAAACCACTCTTCATTCCCTACTCCACCCACCCCCTGACAACCACTACTGTATGAATTTTACTACTGTAAATACTTCGTATGAGAAAACTTAAGTTTTAGACTTCTGTGACTTATTTTGTGGCTTGTTTTCCTTAATGTCTTCAGGGTTTATCCATGTTGTAGCATAACTTATAATTTTCATCTTTTTTAAAGGCTGAATGAAATCCCATTGTAGTCATGCATTGCTTAACAAGAGGAGTATTTTCTGAATAATTCATCTTAAGGGATTTAGTCATTGTGTGAACTAAGAGTGTACTTACACAAACCTAGAGGGTACAGCCTATTACACACCTAGGCTGTATGATATGGCCCATTGCTCCTAGGCTGCAAACCTTAACAGCATGTTACTCTATTGATTATTGTTCCCTGATTGAAACACATCAGGGAGTGAGTTGTGAGTGAACGTAAAGCTCTCGGACATTACTGTACCCTGTTGTAGACTTTATAAACATTGTACACTGAGGCTACTCTAAATTAATTTTTTCTTTAGTAATAAATTAACCTGGCCGGGTGCGGTGGCTCACACCTGTAATCCAAGCACTTTGGAGGCCAAGGCGGGTGGATTACCTGAGGTCGGGAGTTCAAGACCAGCCTGACCAACATGGTGAAACCCCCGTCTATTAAAAAAAAAATTAAAAAATTAAAAAAAAATTAGTAATGAATTAATCTTAGCCTACTGTAACTTTTTTACTTCATAAATTTTGCAATTTTATTTATTTATTTTTTTTTTCTTTTTTAGTTCTGAGAAATTAACCTGTACTGTAAACTTTGCAATTTTAAACTTTTTCACTCTCATAATAACACTTATCTTAAAACACAAACACATACAGCCTGTATAGAAATATTCCTTTATATTCTTTTATAAGCTTTTTCTATTTAATTTTTTTAACTTCTTAATTTTTTTTTAAACTAAGATACACATTAGTCGAGGCCTACACCAGGTCAGGATCATTAATAACACTGTCTTTCACCTCCACATCTTGTCCCACTAGAAGGTTTTCAGGGTCAATAACATGGCCTTGTTATCTCCTATAATAGCAATGTATTCTGGAATATTTTCTGAAGCCTGCCTCAGGCTATTTATTTATTTTTATTTTTATTTTTTTTAGCCAGAGTCTTGCTCTGTTGCCCAGGCTGGAGTGCAGTGGCACAATCTTGGCTCACTGCAACCTCTGCCTCCTGGGTTCAAGCAATTCTCCTGCCTCAACCTCCTAGATAGTTGGGATTACAGGCGCCCGCCACCACGTCCAGCTAATTTTTGTATTTTTAGTGGATTCAGGGTTTCTCCATGTTGGTCAGGCTGGTCTTGAATTCCTGACCTCCGTGATCTGCCTGCCCTGGCCTCCCAAAGTGCTGGGATTACAGGTATGAGTCACAGCTCCTAGCCATCTCACGCTATTCTTACTATTTTTTTTAGAGACCAGGTCTATCACCCAGCCTGGAGTTCAGTGGCATAGCCACAGCTTACTGCAGCCTTAACGTCTTTACCTCAAGCTATCCTGCCTCCAGCCTCCTGAATAGCTGGAACTACAGAAGTGCCACCATACTCAACTAATTTTTTTTTTTTTTAGTAGAGATGGGGTCTTGCTATGTTGCCCAGACCGGTCTTGAACACCTGGCCTCTGGCTGTCTGCCTTGGCCTCCCAAAGTGCTAGGATTACAGGCATTAGCCACCATGCCTGTCCATACAGTTAACTTTATATATATACATATACATATATAGAGAGTGAACACTCTAGTGACAAAAAGTAGAGTAAATATATAAACTAGTAGCAGTCATTTATTACCAAGTATTTTGTACTGCACATAATTTTATGTGCTATCTTTTTATATGACTGACAGCCCAGTAGGTTTGTTTGCACCAGTGTCACCACACACACTTAAGTAATGTCATTGAGTTAGTGGCTATGATGTCACTTTGTGATAGGAGTTTTTTTAGCTCTGTTAAAATATGGGATTACTGTTATACACGTGGTCCATGGTAAACAGAAATGTGTGGCACATGACTGTGGTATACATATATGCCACTTTTTCTGTATTCTTTGATCAGTGCACATTTAAGTTACTTCCACTCATCTGCTGTTAATGCTGCTGTGATCATGAATATTCAAATACCTCCTGAGGCCATGCTTTAAGTTCTTTCTGGGCATATACCCAGAAGTGGAAATGGTGCTTCCTGTTAATTCTGTTTTAAATTTTGGGGGGAACTATTTTCCGTAGCAGCTGTACCATTTTACATTCCCACCAGTGCAGGGGTTCTAGTTTTTCACATTATTGCCAACACTTTGTTTTTTGTTTTTTTCAGTTTTGTTGTTGTTGTTGTTGTTGTTGTTGTTTGAGACAGAGACTCACTTGTTGCTAGGCTGGAGTGCAGTGGCACAATCTCGGCTCACTGCAACCTCCGCCTCCCAGGTTCAAGTGGTTCTCCTGCCTTAGCCTCTGAAGTAGCTGGGACTATAGGTACATGTCACCACGTCCGGCTAATTTTTTGTATTTTTAGTAGAGACGGGGTTTCACTGTGTTAGCCAGGATGGTCTTGATCTCCTGACCTAATGATCCATCTAATGTATTAGAATTACAGGCATGAGCTACCACATCCAGCCCACTTTGTTTTTTAAATCATAGCTATACTAATGGGTGTAGATGTTATTTTATTATGGTTTTTTGGTTTGCATTTCAGTATTGATGTTTAGCATCTTTTCATTTGCTTGTTGACTAATTGTATATTTTCTTTGGAGAAATGTCTATTTAATGTTTTTGCTTATTAAAAAAACATTTTTGTAAATTGGCAGATAAGATTGTATGCTTTCATTGTATACAACATGATGTGAAGTATATATACTCTGTTGAGTGGTTAACATGTATGTATTTTATATGTACATACTCTATATACATATTCTAAATATTAACCCCTTTCAGATACTTGTTTTTCAAATACTGTCTCCCATTCAGTCTGTTTCCTTTTCACTCTGTCCATAATGTCTTTTATTTTGCCCTGGAGTTTTCAAATTTCAGTGGAGTCCAATATATGTTATGCTTGTTTCTTATGTTTTGGTGTTATATCCAAGAAATTATTGCTAAGTCCAGTGTCATGAAAACTTTTTCCTGTCATTTTCTTTTTTGTTGTTGTTTTGTTTTGTTTTTTTTCTTTTCTTTTTTTATGTTATTCTCAGTAAATATTATTTCCTGTTATTTTCTATGAGTTTTATAGTTTTTAAGTTGTCCTTTTAAGTCTGATTTATTTCAGTTCATTTTAGTAAATGGAGGAAGGCAAGAGTTCAACTTTATTATTTCACATATAGATATCTAGCTTTTTGAAAATTATTTATTGAAAAGACTCCTTAATAAGTTTTTGCACTCTTGTCAACAATCTGAGCATAAATATGAGGACTTCTTTCTGGCCTCTTCATTCCACTATATGTATGCCTTTGTGCTAGTACCACGGTGTTTTGATACATAATTCTTTTAAGAGAATAATGGGCCGGGGGCGGGGGCTCATGCCTATAATCTCAGCCCTTTGGGAGGCCGAGGCAGGCAGATCATCTCAGGTCAGGAGTTCGAGACAGCCTGACCAACACGGTGAAACCCCGTCTCTACTAAAAATGCAAAATTAGCTGGGCATGTCATGCATGCCTGTAATCCCAGCTACATGAGAGGCTGTGGCAGGAGAATCACTTTAGGCAGGGAGGGAGAAGTTGCAGTGAGCGGAGATCGCGCCATTGCACTCCAGCCTGGGTGACAGAGTGAAACTCCATCTAAATAATAATAATAATAGTGTTTCTGCCCATTGGTGAGGCCCTTGCTAGAGGCTTGACAGTGCTGCATTTGGAACAGCTGGTAAGGTACCTCCCAACCACTGTCCTTAACACACTCTGAAACTCGATTCAATATATATCAGGCCCAGTCACCCCAGGAGCTGGTATCAGACATCTAGGGACAACTCCTATGCCTTGGAACATGTAAAATTACTAAAATTGGCCGATATATAGAAAGCCCAGAACACTTAGCTAACCCTAATCTACTGGCCACACAGAAACTGCCTCCTGCAACTCCAGTTTACTCTATCACTCTGTTCCTCCACAACTCCGGTGCAGCCCTGCATCATGTCCTCTGGTTCTGAGTTGTAAATTACAGTATGCTCCACCTTTCAGCTCTCTGTCATTATGCCATGTCCTGACATCTGAAAAACTTCTAAATCTTAAAACTATACACACAGAAGGGTATCAAGAATGCAGCGAATGTTGGAAAGATTTTAGCTATTAACCTTTTTCGGCACCAATAAACCATCCTGGAGAAAGACCTTAGGAATGCAGGCAGGCAAGGTACTTTCGTCAGCAGATGAAATAACACAGCAAAGCTGTGGATATTAGCACTTGTGAGGGGGACCTCAGCCAGAAATGGAATCTTACATCTAAACATCCACACAAGGGAGATTTGTTGTAATTGTCTGGTATATCAGAAGCCTTTGTGAATTTCCTTGGACTTTCTGATCTGCCTGGGATCCTTGCCAGTGTCATCACTGAAAGTGTATACGACGAAAGACTTCCATCCACTATTAGCTAATATAGTATCACAGTGTGTATCACCTTAAAATACTTTGGGAGGGAAGATAGCTGTGCTCTCTACCTTTATTTGGAGTATTGAGTCATCTGATCCCTTTGGGCGGAGCCTCATTCCCATTTCCCTGGCTGGTTTGGGTGTAGGCATTATCCAACTTTGGACAGAGGATACAGGCTGGCTTCAGCTGGCAGCTTGTAAAGATTTCCTTATTTCATGGGTATTATTGATTGTCTTATAATGTTGGCAATAAATTTTTCACCTTCCAAACTGCCCAATCCAGTCCGGTTCCACATAACCATACTGGGTTTTGTGATGATAAAGTCATTGTTTAAGCTACATTTACTCATTGGCATTCTATTCTGTGTGTGCTGTGGGTTGAGAACAGAATTGGAGTCTGCCAGAATGAAAATGAAAAAGTGAGTGGTTTTGTGGGGTTTTAAATTTTGTATGCTTCCAAAGAAATAGCCAAAAAAAAAAAAAAAAAAAAGCTCTCAGTCCACA